TAGTTAACTGTATTACTGCCCCGGTGATTCTAATAGTAATCTTATATTTATAAGGGGTGACTTTATTACTGCCCTTAATACTATAGTTAAGGTAGCCTTTACTTCTGCCTATATTATAAAAGGCTCTAAGAAGTTAGGTATATAGCCTATACGTAATAATATTATACTAGCCTAGCTAGTAAAGAGGATATAATAGAGTAATAAGGATATAATAACTTATCTTATCTGTTATTTACTATATAATGTTAGTATAACAGGTAAGCTAGTCTTTTAGGTAGAGAATTCTAGCTAAAGAGAATATAAGAGAGTATATCTCTTATATAAAGATATATCCTATAGAAGTAAGAATATAGGATAAAGGGGAAATAGAAATACTTATACCTAGGGTAAGTAAATAGAAGATATAAGGATATGTAGTTAAAGAGAGTATAGTAGTTAGATTGTTAACTATTTGCTTACTTAGAGAGAGAAAGAAAGAAGACTAGAAAACAGGAAGAATTTCAGCTCTTATATAGCTATACTTAGCTTACTAGAATATTCCATACTTACGTAAGCTGTCTATAAATTAACCCTTAGTTACGTAACTTAATAACCTTAAGTAAATAACCCTAACTTAAAGTAATAACCTTATAGGAAAGATAGAAGTAGAAGGTAGGATCTTGGACATTCTAGTACCTTCTCTAATCTTCTGTTAATTACGTAATCAGATATATTTACGTAATTAAGCTATATATTAATCTACTAGGTTAGTAGATTATATACATATATATCTTATATATAGATAACCTCTATAATAGAGGAAATATAAGATAAAGAAGTATAAGAATATTAGAGATATTCTTACTTCTAACATATAATAACTGCTTTAATAAGGTAATCCTTATTAGTGACTTTATAGAAGAGAAATATAGTAGTATATAGACTTGTCCTTCAAGAAGGGGTTTCAAAGTGGTGAAGTAGGTAATTTATAAGAGATCTCTTACCTTTAAGTACTAAAGGTAACATATTAAAGACTAAAATACTAGACCAGATATATAGTAAAAAGAAAGTAGTGCTAGTAAGCTGTTAAACTATAACACTTCTTTATAACTAGTGTTACTATTATAGATATAAAGAAGGTATATAAGAAGTAAGTTATAGAGGTAATATAAGTAGAAATATTACGCTAATAGGTAGTAGTAAAAAAGATAGCCTATTAGTAAGAAAAAGAGGTCTAGTAGTAATATAGTGCTTTAAAGTATTAAGAGGTAAATAGATAGATAAAGCGACTAACTTTTAAATAGTAACTAGACTATACTAGAGAAGGTTAACTATATATCCTATTTAATTCTTTAGATCTATAGTAGTATAGTCTAAATAATACTAATAATAAGGAGAAATTTATAATAGACCTTAATCTAACCACTTTACTATAATATATACTTAACTAGTTTAAGTATATAGTAAGGCCTCTTAGTTAGGGTAATACTAATTAAGTATTAGTAGATATAGCTATAGAGGCAGCTAGGCTATATTTTAACCTAGAGGTATTTAAAGATATTAATAATTCTATAGATAAGGACTTTAATTTAGTTTATTTTAAGTAAAGAATTTATTAGTATACCTAGTAGTAATAATACAAGTAATAAAGTAGTATTATTATTATTACTACTAGAAATACTAACGTATATATATAGTAAGTAGCTTATTATAGTAAGTAAGCTACTTCCTCCTACCTCTCTATCTTTTATATAAGTTAATTAAGCCATAATATATAAAATTAATTAAAACTACTTATTACTATCTTTTTTATTACTACCCTAAACTACCTTATAGGTTTATATATTATATTTAGTCTTTTTATAATTACTATATTATTATATATATAGTTTACTACCCTTTATATAAGCCTCTTTTTAGGATATCTTCCTACTTCTAGCTTTAATACCTTTTTTTTCTCCTTATAATACCTCTACTTTAGTTATATTAAGTAACCCTTTAAGATATAGTTAGGTCTTTTTAGCCTTTTACTACTTACTTAGTATATTTATTTTTATATAAGGTCTAAGGTTCTTAGCCTTAATAAAAGTAAGCCTATATACTAACTTACTAATACCTTTAGCTTAAAGGTTAATTACCTTATATATTAGTATTTATAAGCTTCCTTAATATCTCTAGATCTTTTTTTTAAGTAAACTAGCACTTTATACGCCCTTTAGTACTATAGTTAGTGTTTTTAGGTCCTATAATCCTAAGCTAGTTAGATATAAGCTAAAAGGTGTTAGTATATTTAGTTTAAAATCTAGGTTAAAAATAACTACTTTAAGGTTAAAAGTTATAAAGCTAGCCTGTTTAAAGCTAACTTATATATATTTTTTATTAAAGTAAAAAATACTACTTTAAAGGTAAAAAAGAAGTTATTTTTTATAAGATATAAAATCTCTACTTATATTATCTTCTTAATTTCCTTACTATATTAAAGCTTTAATAAGCTAAAATAACTTATATTAAGAGGCTAAAGCTTATATAATAAATAAAAAGGTATATATAAAGTAATAATCTTTTATTGCTTATAGAAATTATTAAATTTAGTTAATATATAGGTATTATATCTATTAAGAATTAAGAGTTAATAAGCACTTTTTATATAAGACCTTATATACTAGTTAAAATAATTTAACTAATTTAGGCTAATCTTATTTATTATTTATTTATTTTTACTTAAGTAGATATATTATTTAGCTAGGAATTAGTTATTTTAGTACTAAAAAAGAAAGTAATATTTATTTTTGTAATAATATATAAAGATATTATCTAGCTATCTATATATATACCCTAAATAATAGAAACCTATATTCTTAATTACTAGGCTACTTTATATAAAGCCTTTTTTTATAGTTAGAGGTTATAATAACCTTTATATATAATAGTATTCCTATTAAGAACCTAGTCTAATTAAAATTATAAATATAATAATTCTATATTTTATTCTTTATAATTATATTTTATATAAGTATAAACTAGTCTTATTTAATTATAAGATCTTTAGCTAAGGCTCTCTAATAGTTAATTTAATATTAAAATTATATTTTTACTTAAAGTTATTATTATATAAAGTTCTTTACTTATTAAGGCCTAATATATATTACGTTATATATATTTAAGAGTTAGTTACCTATATTTTATATATCCTCTTGTTATAAAGGAAACCCTTAATTAATTAGGTTAATAATCCTCTTAAGAATTACCTTCTCCTTAACTTCTATTATCTTCTTTAAATCTAGATATATCTTATCTTATATAACGTATCTAATAAGTTAGTAATAAAGTAAGGATTAAGGGACCTTAAAGATACTAGCTACGCTTTATATAAACATTTTTAGGTCTTTTTTAATAGCTTAGATAGTAAGGATAATACGGCTTTTAATTAAAGAAGATTATATATTTATATATAGAGAAATACTAGTGTAAAAGTTAAAAAGGAAGAAAAAATAAAAGGTAGGCTACTTATTATAATAGGCTACTTACTATATATATATGTTAACGCTAGGCCTTTTATTATTATAAGGGCTTTTATAATATAAGTTAAGGTAATGTAGTATAAAGGAAAAAATATATACCTAGAGGGCTATAAGGATTATACTATAAAATTACCTATTTATACCTCTATCTATAGAAGTAAAAAAGAAGTAGTGATATATAGTAGATAATAATAAAAGTAATAGCTGTATTATAGTAGTAATATAAATTTATAGTTATTATATAAAGAGAAAAAAAAAAGGTATTATTATATAGCCCTAATTTAGGGCTATTAATTAATCTAACTCTTGCTATTATATAACGTTGTTATGGTTATTACTTTAAGAGATAGAAAGTTAACTATACTATATAACCTACGTAAAAGTGATACTATTTGTAATAGGGGGTGGTAACCCCTTTTTCTATGTGGTAACCCTATTTTTTCACCCCTTGCGTGAGCAAGGGGTTTTTAGCGCAGCGATGATGACTAACACCCCTGGGTATATGTAAGCCCTAACTACGCTTATTATTAACCCCTTTACTTAATACTATTCTTGCCCTTAACAAGAGATAGCTAAGGTTATAGTAGGCAAGGCAAGAGTATTTAACTACTATACTGCTATTTTACTATACTAAATTCTTACTAGCTAGAGCACACAGCAGATAGGGTGATATAAATAAGTGGAAAAGCCTTGAATTGTGTAAAGACAAATCTCCCGGGTGGAGGGCCTATATAAAGGGGGCCCTCAAGCTCGTTCATGTGACATGGCACGTGGTGTGGCTGACGGCAACCGCCACACATACATGAGCCTCCTGTGATATAAATATACCTGCTAGTCATGACGATATCTAGGAGTGTTCGTTTAGCCTTGGCTGTATTATAGAAAGTTATATAGGACAGGGGTTCGGAATCGACAGCGAGAAACAATGTTTTTGATGTCCTTTTATCAAACCCTTCTAGGTGGGGAAACGTTATGAGAGTTGATCCTGCATGGGTGGAAACAAAAAGATAATTGACGCGCTCGCTCTCTTAGCCTACACTGGACCGAAGAAGAAATGACCAGTTCTGAGCACCCGACGCGAAAGAATGTTAACATCAGGTTGCTATGTCGTCCCAAAAAAACTATATCTCATCAGATATAATCTATTAATAGGCCGATCATAAGAGTCTAAACAAAAACGAATGATGCTTGCTTCATATGAAGCGAGTTGAAACATGTCCATTTCCCCAACCTACGGTCAAGGCCCAATTCATGGCTCAAGACGAGTATTACCTGAGGCAGCTGACGTCTACGGAACCGCCATTTGACCGCTTGTTGCCACACTTCAGAAAGTTCTGGGCCATCAATACTGACAAACACGTGATGGTTCGATCAAACATTGTAGGCTGAAGTCCATTCTGGACCTGCCAAGCGTAGCGTTGGTTACTATTCGATTCTCTATCATGTAATGTCTTTTTTCAACCTGGTTCACCAAGGCCATATCCATTTTGCCCTCGCAGTTCAGCCACGCCACACAATCTCAATCGTCGCAAAGAACGTCAGGGGGTCAGCATCGACCTTGATCACCTCGAAACGCTCGTCTGCGTTCTTGACGATGCTCCTGTACGCCTCGACTGGGCGCTCCTTAGCGTTGAAGAGGGCCATCATGCGGAGGTCGGTGGCCGTGCCCATCTGCTGGACGGACCGCGGCAGCGGCGGGCCCACCTTCTTTTCCTCCTCCTCATATTTCGGGTCGCTCGTCGCGCCCTCGTCGACCTTGCCGATGTACTCGATCACAAGAACGCGGTTGCCCGGCCGGAGCTTGGGCACCAGGTTGCGCAAAAGCTGCGACGCTACAGCGTCCGGATAGTCGTGCATGATCAACTTGAGAATGTAGATGTCGGCCTCGACCGGCTGCGGCTGGAGGATGTCGTGCTCGACATATGACACGCGGTCCGCGAGCTCGGCCGGGAGGTTCGCCTCGAAGATGGGCTTCACCTTGGGCATGTCCTCAACCACGAACGTCAGGTCGGGGAAGTTGCGCGCTAGGTTAAATGCATCGTTACCGGCTGATCCGCCGACCTGTGAGAGGGTTAGCAGTGCAGTCATTCCATCGGGGTGCGTGTCAGAACTAACGTCGACGACCTTGGCCTTGCCGGCCGCCTTCCAGTCCGTGGCATTCAGCACAATGCCCTCGACGCGGAAAATGTCCTTCATGAAGGTCATGAAGTCGACAAAATATTTCTGGCGCCAGCCGCGCCGCTCGCCCTCACCATGGTTCTCGAGAAAATCCCACGAGTTGGCGTGGCGGCCGCCGAACTGGCCGCCTTGGTGCAACAGTGCAAAGGCCGTCTCCTCCATCTTGTCCGTCAGGGCGGGCTTACCGGCACTGTAGCGCTCGAGAGCCTCGTTCAGCAGGAGCAGCGGCGCGCTCGACGTGTCTAGCACTGAGTGCACGAGAGCCTTAAGACCCGGCTTCCGCGCCAGCGCCGCGGACCGCGACGTGTGCTGCACGCGGGATGTCGCGCGCCCTGGCTCCGTCTCAGCGAAAAAGCATAGCGTGAAGGCGTGCTGCAACACGCGGTACGCCACATCCAGCGGCAGTTTCGTGCGCTCCGCGATTTCAACGTACGAGGCCGAGTCGTCGATCGGTACCGCCGCCCAGAAGTCAAAGTGGTTCAGCACATTGAGACACGAGGCGTCGGGAATGGCCTGCGATGTACCGGTCAGCACCTGAGCCGGTCCCGGCAGAGAAGAAGGGGGCAGGGGGAGGTCTCACGTTGTGGACGTAGTTGTAGACACTCTCCATAGGGCCCTGGGAAAGAATATACATGTCGTTCAACGCATCGTTGAGCGTCTGACGAGTGATGAACATCTCACCGGTGATACCCTCATAGCTAGATACGCTGTCGGCGGCGAAGGTCGCCTGCGGGATATTGTTTGCTTGAAGCTGGTTAGTAAAGGCTGCCGCCAGCTCAGTGATCTTGGCGGCGAGCTCGTTGAGGGTGGGCTGTGAGTCGACCATCTTGACACACAAAGATTGGGGTTCGGTCGCGAGTCTAGAGAGCGGCGGTGTGCTTGTCAAGTCTCGAAATGTGCGCAACTTACGAGAGGGGTAGCCAATTTATTTGAGGCCTGTTCAAGGCGACATCTAGCTGACGAAGAGGCCGCCAGCTGGCTGCCCTCATCCACTTCGGGTGCGAGCCAAGACCGACAATGCAAATAGTTTCTCGCTCCGTGATGTCAGGAAAGTGCGGAGGATGATGATCTAATCTGATTAGATCATCTGATTAGATCATTCGCCCCTTGGCGTGTTGACCAATTGACAGACGTAACTCGAATCTGGACAAACCATGCCAAATGCCAGTTGCAGGTGGCCAGATATAAATGGTGTCATACCTAACACTACCTATGCCTACTAGCTAAGTTGCCCTATTGTTAACTTTCTCACTCTGACTAGACCCTGACGCCAAGCGACTAGCCATGCAAGGACATCTTTGCCTGGCCGGATTCGGGTGTGGCCAAGAAATAGACCTCGGCTGTTCGCGCGGCAATTGCTTTCTGCCTTGCGGGGAGGGAATCTAGCACAGGATGGAGAGTGGGAGGGAAATAGTCTATACACAATGCAGTGGGCTAGGTGCGCATGTATACATCTTCAGCATCGGCCACGCTCAGACAACTGCGCCGTCGGTGTTTGTGCAAACCGATCTTTCTTACGTACTCTATTCGCTTCTTGGCCGGGATCGAGTTGACCATCAGCGCAGACATATTCTAGTCATCGTTAAGGATCACGAAGTTGGCTAGACAGAGGCGAAGGGCACCCAAAAACATGACGAGAGGGCACTGAACCAGGTAGTTAGACAACGGGAACAATGATCGATAACAACATCAGTCATCTATTATCTAGCCTGCATCCAGTGATGTCATCTGCGAAATATCTCAGATAAGAACTACCGCCATCAAAGCGGGGAGGGACCTAACCTCTCGGGAGGGACCGCGGCGTTGGTATGCTGAGGCTATTGAATGCCATGTGCCATCCCATCCCACTGGGGCCCTCCTGTACTGTACGAGGGTTGTAGTCGCTAGCGCCTTAGTTGTGAGTCTGTTGTATATGTACCTTGTGTAGGTAGTTCAATACCACACAGTCTTTTATAGTCTCCCTCTATTGCATATCAAGGGGTATTATGCCAGGCTTCTTTAGTTTTTATTATTAGTCTTTTTCTCCAACTTGATGGCCTCCTGATTTTATCCAATGCTATTAGTCATATCCAACTAAGAAAACCAAAAGAAATAAGAGAAAGTATTGCAACAGACGCTTATGACCCGTTGGCGCCCTGCACATAGGCCTGATCGTACCTGTACGGCATGGGGTTTGTGTCGTAGTAGGGGTCGTACGTCAGGAGGGCGAAGCCCGAGTCGGCGGCCGCAATACCGCTGGGCCAGCACTGGTTGTCGTTGAGGCCGTCATTGGCAGGTGGGCTGCCGAAGTGGTCGTACGACGCGATGGTGAACTCGGGATGTGTGTTGACGCCACTGTCCATGTACGTGCGCAGCAGCTGGGACTTGGGGCGGCTGACGTGCTTGGCGCTCGCCGGGTCGCGGCTGACGGCGGCGTCGAAGTTTGTGTCCGACAAATCTTGCAGTGTGCCTCCGAAGCAGGCGCCCTTCCACATCTGGCCAGCCTTGTGTTTCTCCGTGTCCGGGACATATCGCACCAGCTGGCCGGTACGGTCAACGCCCGAGTTAAGGATGGCGGGGCTGTTGGCGTCCAGCAGGTAGGCCGGCGGGTACTCGTCGCAGTCGCAGCCCTCTTGCTGGCGGTTGATTTCCTCGGTCCAGCCAGAACCGCGGTGCTGTGTGCTCCAGGTGGCCGTGGCCTGGCCGTCCTGGCGATGGGCAGTGGTGGCAGCTGCCTGCGGACACGTCAAGGTAGCCCAAGCCTGGTTGTTACGGATGACGCTGCTGTAGTAGTAGCAGGCCTGCGAACAGGCGGCGCTGCATGTAGCCTTCACCTGGGTGGTGCGGGCGCTGTAGGTCAGGGAGGTGACGATGACCTCTTCCCTTTGCGTTTGGTCAGCCACGCACGACTGCCGGCGCATAGTGTTCTTGGCTATGCCCAGCCGCTGGGTCGACTGCGACTTGGGCACGTTGCACTTCTTGCGGATACCAACGCTACCCAGCTGCGTCTTTCCTAACACGTTGGCGCCGCTGCCCGTGCCCTGCTTGGGCTTGGCTCTGTTCGTGAGGTTTGCATCGTCACCCTTCTTGCCGCTGCCCTTGGGCGCCTTTGGTTTCTTGAAGCGCGATACCCCATCTGTCACCGAGCTGAGGATGCCGAAGGTCTCCTTGATCTCCTCCGGCACCAGCTCCGTCCCGCCGCACGGGCCGAGCCACCAGGAGAAGGCGCCTCCGGGTCTTCCTCCTCCGGGTACAGGTATGCAGCCATCTGCGCTGCTGTAACGGCCATATCAAGTCCAGCGTCCAGAATCTTGCCCGCACCCCAAATCAGGCTCGCGCCCACGTCCAGCACCAGCTTCAGTAACGACATAAGTATATAGCAGCCAATTTAGGCAATGATGGGCATGGTCAAGCACTATGTCTGCGATCTCGTTAACAAGGTAGTTATCGCACGAGCAGGTGCCGGGCACAACATAATATGACGTGCCTGGGTACTTACTCCAGGGGATGCCGTCAGGATACTCCTTAGTCAAGAAGAAGCCAACGCAACCGTAGTTAGAGGTTCAACTATCTTCCTTGGCCTCGTCAAGTGCTGGCTTGCAGTAGGAGTAGCACTAAAACTGGACCTCGTCCCTCAGTTTGGGATTCTGGTAGATAAGGCACTTGTCAGCGTTAGCGAGCCGCGCCCCCGTGTAGTTGAAGTAGTTCGGGTTCTCGGAGCTCCAACCGACCTCGATAATGCCGTCGTCCTCATCCTTGTCGACCACGGCCGTCGTGCACACATCGGGCGGGCAGTAGCCATGCGAGCAGGCGAAGCGACACAGCCGGTTCATGTCGACGTCGACCTTGTTCGAGGCGAAAATATTTCCCTCGACTGGGTTCTCCGCTAGAACTGGTCACATTTTGCCCCTCGTGACGCACATACACAGCGACTCCCGGCAGAAGCCAATAGAACAGATAAACCCACATAGGACGCCTGAGTTTGAAGTCCTGCCCTCGCCTGACACACAGGCCTCGTCACCCGTGTCGCCGCCGCGGCCCAGCGGAAGCTTCATGCCATCGTCGCCAAATATATGCAAATCGACGGCCCAGTCAATGCTCCCGCCAAAATTCAGCGCCTTCCAGTCTTCGCGTCACTTCAGCTTCGTTGTCAGCATCATGTAGCTGATGTAGTCGCCCTTGTACAGCAGGACGTCTGTCCGTCCCCAGCCTGGCCGATCGGCTGCCCGTCGACCATGATATCGGGTGCGCCTGGGTACTCCCAGTCAATGTCGATACCATCGATTCCCTTGTCTTTGGCGAACTGGGCGTGGTTCTTCGTAAACGCTTCGCGGTTTCCGATGATGACACAGCGGATGATGTTGTAAGTGGCCGGCTCGGTTGAGTAGGCCCAGCCGCCAAACGGCACGATGCGTTTGAGTTGAAGCTTCTTGAAGCCCTCCCACTGACCGTGCGGGTCCGCGATGACGGGCTTCCAAGTGTTCGTGTCGGCGAATCCCCAGTGCATGTGGGTGTAGGTGCCATCGGTGTTGGACTTCTCGGCAAGCAGCCATAGGCAGTCGCGGTTCATGTTCCACGACTCATAGTAACCAACGCGGGAGAAGCTGACTGGCGGGCCTGAGCTCTGCTTGATCTCATTGCCGCAGTTGGAGATGCACGTGCTTTGGAACCCGGGCAGCTTAGTGCCGGGGTTACAGTCTGTTGCGTTGGCAGCGTCCAAAACCCATTTTTCAGTCCGTGCACCCGCGCCATACAAATGCAACCCCATGCAAATTCGCGTTTTTTGGCTGGCAGGATCCAAAATCTGTATTACCTAACATTAGATAGTTATAACAACTTAAAGTCGCGTATACTAGCAGCAACAATAATAATAAGGGGATTTAGACCTATATAAAGCCACTTATGAGCTGTATATCTAATTATCATTTTGACACTTACCCGTTAAATAGATTTATCTCCTATTATAATAGTCTATAAAAACACGCCTTTTAGATAGGCAGCTAAGTTAATAAAGTTATAAGAGTAATATATATATAAAAGTAAAGTCTATAATAATTCTATTACTATTACTTACTGCTACTACTTTTTACTAAATAAATACTATATTAAATAAATATAATAGTACTAAGGTTAAATAAAGATAAGAAAAAAAGGATAATGTAAATTCTTAAGTTATTTAAGAAAATAGATAAAAAAGTTACTATATAGCTAGGCTATACTGCTTATATAGTTACGTAATAGCGTTATTATTATAAAATAACTAGCTAAGTAGTAATTTATCTTACTAGTTAGTAAAGCTAAATAAAGTTAGAAGTATAGTAACTATATAAGTTATTAAAGCTTCTTACTTACTATAATAACCTTAGCTTTAAAGAAATATAAGATTTCTTTAATAAGTAATTTAACGTAAAGATTTATAAGTTAATAATTAGTTAGTAGCTTTATACAGCTAGGTAGATGTTAAAGTCTATTTATATTATTACTAGAGGGTTAAAAGAATAAAATATAAATATAGAATAATATAAATATAATATAATATAAGTATAATAGGATATAAATATAATATAATATAAATATATATATTTATATATATTCTTCTATATAGTATAATAGACATATTTATATTTATATTTTTTACTTTACAAGATATAATATAAGTATAAATATAGAAATTATATTTTATATTTAACATAAAAATATAATATTAAAATACTAAATAATTATCTTCTTTATATAAAATTATAAACAATAGTTTAGCAATATAAAAATATATAGTAATATAGTTATACTAAACTAGTTTTATATACTAGTTAGTAATACTAAGACTTCTAATTCTACTGCTATAAAAAGTATTGAAAAGAATATTAGTAATATAATATTCTTTTACTTCTTTAATATTATAATCTAAAATAATATTTATACTATTCTCTTCCTACTTATAATAGTTATGACTAATACTATACTCTATAGTATTACTAATAGTAGTCTAAAGTACTATATACTAGGAATAGTTTAAGACTATATATAAATAAAGAATAGAATATAAATAACTTACTTTAAAGTTCTTAAAACTATTACTATTACTACTAATAATTTTATTAATATAAATCTTAAAAAGTAATAGCTTTAAAGAATTACTAATTATAGTCTGTTTATTCTTAATTATAATATTATATAATATAGTATAAAGGTTAAATATTTCTAAAGTATTAATATGTTAGCTTTCTTATAATTCTTATTATTTACTTTCTTTTTCTTCTAGATTATCTAGTAAAATAGAATATATAAAAGAAATATAATTATTAGATTCTTCTATTAAGTTAACTAGATTTATAATTGTTGTAATGTTAACTATCGCCTGGATAATTGGCGTTATAATTAACGCCAATCTGACGGAGAAACTACGGCTGATTGACTGTAGATCCACCAGGGGATCCACAGGGTTTTACCTAGCGATTTCGCCGCGTAACACCTATAGATAGTTTCTCTTCTTTACGTATAATTCAGAACTAGTATATACGTCTATTATTTGTTAATTACCTATTAATACATATAGTTAACTATATTACTAAGCCTAGTAATCCTAACACTAATTAGTAGTTAAATACTACTTTTTACTACTATAGATTAGTAAGGGCACTAGAAGAAGTAATTCTTCCTTATTAACTGTTAATAGAGGCCTAGAGTAGGCTTAACTAAAAAACGCTACTATAAATACCTTTATAATAAAGGTTATACTATATGCCTATTATAGGTTAATTTATATTAATAGTAACTTATCTCCTTAACTTATAAAAAGATATATAGATTTATATCTATTATATAAGTAAATTAACTTTATTACTATTTAAGAGGTTAATCTTAACTATAAAAAACACCTTACTTTATATACTAATCTACTATTAACTAGTAACTACTACTAAGTTACTTATTCTTATTACTTTTTTTATTATAACCCTAAGTAGCTTACTAACTTTCTTTTTTTTTTATATTCTTTCTTATTTTTACTAAGTTATTTCTTATTACTAATATAATAGCCTATTTATTACCTATAAGCTTACTAAAAGTAAAGTTTTTTTTCTTTAACTATAAGTCTTTATAGTTACCTATACTACTAGTAGTAAATCCTCTAACAGATGTATACACCCTTTAATAACAGTAAAGAGAAACGCCTATAACTAAGGGGTAGTTAGGCTAATAGAGGGTAATTATAAGTGAGTAAGCTAAGATAAGTAAGCATAAAGAGAATACTATAAGCACTATATAGGGCAGTAACACTACTAAGCAGCCTAAGGTAATTTACCTTAAGTATATATTACTACCTAACGCTACTAAGAAAGTAGAGGTAATTATAGAAAAATACTAAGTGCCTAAAGGGCTAAAGGGATTTATACTTACTAACTAATAGTAAAAAGACTATATTACTAAGTTACTACTAGATCTTATAATTACTAGCTAAAAGAATATACTTACTATAATAGCTACGTTTTATATTACTAAATATAAGTACTATAACTATCTTTATAAGATACTTTAAAATAAGGCGTAATTTAACTTTAAAGATTAGTTAATTAAAGACTTTAAGCTATTACTATATAAAGTTACTAATAAGCTATATAACTATATTATAGGCTATAAAGTATAAATTAATTAAGTAAAGAGCTTTATAGTTACCTTACGTATTTATAAAGCTATATAAGATAAGTTATATATTATATAAGATAAGAAGTTAATTATAATTACCTTATAAAAGATCTAGTAATTTAAAGAGTAACTAATAGATAAGGACTTCTATAAGGATATTACTAGTATAGTAAAGTTACTTATTAAACTTATAAAAAAAGCTAGGCAGGCTACTATTTATAAATTACTAATAACTATCTAGGTAACCTTATATAATAACCTATTATTTACACCTTTCTCTACTTTATTACTATAAAAACCCTAAATAACTATAGTAATTTATAAAAATTAAGTCTAGTAACGCCTCTTACCTATAGTAACGCTAACTACGCCTAAAGTAATAGTAAGTAAGCAAAACGGCCTAACGCTAAGGTAATTAATAAACCTAAGAAAGTTCTATATAAATAATCTAGGTTTAATATATAGTAGTGGCCTATATAGAAGTATTAACTTAAAGCTATCTTTTCTTTATAACCTTTACGTCTATATAGGCATTCTATAAAACTACTATAGTGTAGCTATAATAGTAATACTAAAAGGAGAGCTATATAAGTACTATACTACCTTATTACTTAGCTCTTTTAATAATTTTAATGTAATAATAGTAAAGCTTAAATAACACTTTAAAGGTAAGAAAAGACACCTTTTATACCTTACTAAACTTTACTATACCTCTTTTAATTTAATTACTAGAGAAAATACTAGCAAGAGTAAGCTTAAGGTCCTTAACGTACTTATTATATAAATTACCTAGCTAGTGTAAGTAACACCTTATAATAGCACCTTATATAATAAAGAATACTATAAGTAACTACTTACTTATTACTATAATATGCCTAAATACTTTATTACTATCTTTAATCTGCCTGTAACCCTCAATAGCCTTTATATATAATTATATAATAGCATAGTAAATTTACTTCTTTACTATAATTTATAGTTATAATACGTTATTAATAATAATAATAGTTATAGTAATAACTAATATTAGGTTAACTATAAGTATAATAGCTAACGTAACTATAAGGCAGACCCCTAAAGATAGTAAGGCTAGTTATAAGGCCCTCTATAGTTAGCTTATAATAAAGTACTACCTAGTAGTAATCTGTTTAAGAAGTGCTTTATTTATAGTAAATTAGGCTATTAGTTAACTAAGTACACTAAGGAGGAATAACAAGCCTCCTCTATATAGTATAAGAGCACCTACTTTATATAGGCTTTACTAGTTATATTTAGTTACTTTTTTATTAACTATAAGGACACTAAGCTAAGTTATCTTAAAGAAGTAAGTAATAATAGTAAAGCTTACCTATTAGATAGTAAAGGCTATAAATCTACTATAATTTTTACTATAACTACGTACTTTAGTAAGTAGTTAATTAATAGCCTATCTACTTATAAGAAGCTATATAACTAAGTAACCTTTTATACTATAACCTATAATAATCTATATAGAGAGGTATTACCTAATATAACTATAAACAGTAGTAATATCTTTATATTTAATAACTACTACTTTACGTCTACCTTTTAAGGTATTATACCTAACACTAGTGTGGCTAAGGTATCTATAGCTAGCTAATAATAGTACTACGCCCTTAAAAAGTCCCTTAGTAAGGAGATCCTACTAGATACTACACACACTAGTAAGGTAATAATTTACTTTAGCAGTAGGGATTACTATAAGTCTCTTAGTGTAATTTATATACCTTTATTAATTAGTAAGCTTGTTTTTTATATAATAATAAGTAATACGCTATTTCTCTTTTACTTAAAGGATATAGATTATTATAGTATTAAATTTAATAACCTTACTAACTAGCTTATTAAGGATAACATTATTATACCTATTACCTAAAAATAAGGCTATATATAAATACTTCTAGATCTACTAGAGAGCACTATTATAAAAGTAACACCTAACTTATAGTAACTTACACTAGACTTACTACTAATTTAGCTATCTTTTAGTAAATTACCTTTATAAGCTCCTTAAATAAGTAGGTAAATTAACCTTCCTTACTACGCTTAAAGAGATTAATAAATACTACTACTACTACTAACTTAACGTAAAGGCGCCTAGTT